GCTTCAGTGACGCATACGGTTCTTTCCTCAATGTTGTTTACTCTCTTCTTTCATTTTTCATCTTCTTAGAACCTTATTCAAAACCATCTCCATATTCAGGTATTTCATATTCATACCTGGAAGTAGATTCATACTTCGTCGTATTCATTCTTCTAATTAGCATAGTCATTGCTAATTACGTTCATTTTTAAATGTCTAAATGTGAAACTACCTCGTCATTTTCTTGATAAAAATCTACCATGTTCGGAACTATAACATCGTTTCCAAAAATTACATAGAAGTTATTCATTTTCGTTGTGTCATCCCGGTATTTTCGTTGACTCAACGAACGTTTACCTCACTTAAACCTATCAGGTCCATTCATTCGCGGATTTCGTCGAACTTCCGAAATTACTTGGTTCCGATTTACCGTTCTCGGAAGGTGCGTGACGTACTTGGTTAGAGAATTCTTAAGGCGCGTCTTATCGATTGTTTCGAAAGCCTACGGCAAACGGGACACACGCTCTGTGTCCATAAACAGTTTGTTTTCAAAATAAAGGAACGGTTTACCCTCTAGCCGATTTAATCCTTGATATATCAAGGTATTAATTTGTGGAAGTGTAACACCATCGAATGCATCGTTCTCATAAATTGAAAACGCTTATGAAAGTAAAATATTTAGTTCTATCGGCCAGTCACTGAAAAGCGTTGCAATCGTAAACTGCATACATCGCACAATGGCAATTTGCATAACCGATAAGCACTTACACAGGAAAATGAATTGGATTAATACCGTAATCGTAGCGCATTTATGTAAAGTTACACGAGAAATTCATGCAATTCTTAGAGCTTGCTATAAATTCGCATAAATTATCGATTTAAAGTTGGAAAGTATCGAACCACTTGGAAGTTTGTCCTAGTTTCGAAGAATTGGCTGAAAGTTACAATCCCAGCTGGTTTTCATTTGATTTGAAGATGTTTCTCCGTTTAATCTTAGTCAGATGTATTCCTCATAAGTTTGTTGGAAGTAGGTTAGAAGTTTTCTTGAAATGCAAATATAATGTTCATAAGAATACATCTTATGAACTTCAAGCATGTATGTTCTTGATTGAGTCATTTCAGAAAGATCTTGCCTTTCGAACATCGTTGTACTATTATAATACATTTCTTTTATCTCGGATCACTTTCAAGATTTTCTTTTTATTAGTTGAAATTCCGATCAATTGTTAATTAAGCTTGTAAAAGAGCCAACTGGTAGCAACATAAAAATGGTAAGATGGTACTTAAGTGGAATAATGGCTATAGGAAATCGTCTTTTCAACTATTGGATAATCATAGTTATCTGTTCATTTTAAATGAAATTGGTTTGATATGTGTGATTGTAGTAATAAGTAGATAGTATCTTCCTCTGTAAAACTGAAAAGACTTATTAAAGAATTCTATGGAGAAGGTAATTCCACGGTATTGGAGCAAAACGTGGGTGGATTTCTAATCTAACGTGACATTGACCAGGGTAGAAAGGACTCAGTAGGTTGGGGTAGTTGGAAAAGCCTGGAATCGATCGGTCTCGGGGCAAGCAACCCGTACATACCACCACCGTAGACGTCTTTCAAACGCACCCTTGGTTCTCCATTTTTTTATTCCCTATAGTGCTTTATATTTTCCGAGAAATGCACAGACAAACGTTTACTCATCGATCAATAAATTGTACAGAAAAAAACATCAAAGAAATGAGGCATGTTGCAATTTATATTCACTTCTATCTTAAACGTGTATCTTGCAAAATTCGTAAAAGCAAGGATCTTTTTTCAGTTTACTAGTGAAATTTTTTCTTTTTAATTATTCAACTTTTGTTATATCGTCGCTAGACACAATAGCAATTAAGGAATGAAAGAAGAACCGTGCTCTAAGAGCGATCATTTTGGAATTCACGATTAATTGATCATGGAGGAGTACCGAAAGCTAGGGTACAATTAAAATCAAGGAGTTCTCGGCGTAGATACGATTTAAGCCCGTTTTATTTATTGCCGGCATGCATTACCGTGTCACGACGATAAGAGAACAAAGGTAACGTTACTATCGTGCGTGCACCTTGAACAGAAGAGAAGCTTGTTGCGCCATTGTTAGCGAGAGATATTTACAGGGTGTCCAATGCAAATGGGCCAAGTTCTAATGGGTGTAGTTCTAAAATGGCGTGAAATAGAATAAAGTGCCATTAAGGAAAATTAAGTGATATCGAATGGAGTATCATTTACCACACGTGTCGCTTCCGGAAGTGGAGGCGTTTCAAAGATATCTCAGGGAGAGACGGGAAGAGATTGCCGGTCTCTCCCTAAGGTTACATCCCAATATATCCCAGTCGCACGGGACACCCTGTACAGTACTGCGATTGTTCTCGCGAACGTTTCGCCGTTTAGTTAGCAACAAGTAGTCAGACAGCCTTGCTTCGTTGCGATTATACGTGAGCGTGCACGACAATAGAAGGTTCGTGAAAGTGAGCGAGCACGAAATCGATTTTCCCCACGAAATTAGCGAACTTTCAGCTCGTTCATCCGACTTTTCTGCCACGATTTCTTCGGAAAGGTCTCAGTCGACTTCTTTTCTCCAGCATCCCTTCGCAAAGTTAGGAAACGCACTCGCGCGGAACTTATATTTTTGCCAGGGTTCGCGGACCGCGAAACGCAGGGAGAAGTTTTAATAAAATTCTTTTTCAAGATTCTTCCTCTCCAACAGAAAGCTTCTTCTATTCGAAGGTATTCGAAGGAACCGCGTTTGTCCAAACTTTCAACAACCTAAAGGCTCCATTTATGCTTCCATGCCTATTCGTTAAGAGTTAACAGGTCATTTATATGTTCTATTTAATATTTCACTTTCACTGGAAAACTAATATTATCAGTTTGAAAAAACGCAACTTTGTGTTTCCAGAAACTGATACGTTAGTGGTAGGTGTTAGCACGCAAGAGAGAGTTTAGAAAGTACGTTTGATTTACGATTGATCTATATTAGTCTATCGATATACGCAGGCTGAAATTAATTTCTCGTTTATATCGGGCAAATTTATAATACGGGCCAACAGGAAATTCGAGATCCTTGAGAATTAAAGCAATTCTGCGGGTGTCCACTCGAAATTGAAATAAAAGTAGCACGTGTCTCGATTAAAACATGCTCGAATTTTAACAAAGGATTTTCATTCAAATTGAATTACCTTTGGAATGTATGTACGTCAATGCGATACAAAGAGTGTAATTTTATCTGTACTGCATAATTGAAATTGTTCGAGGTCTCATGCTTGAGTACAGGTTTATACTCCGAAACGTAATACGAGCAATGATACTCTAAAGACGATTGATTGAACAGGTAACTCTATACTTCAGCAGGTAGTAACACTCTGTCCCAACAGATCATACGATCCTCTTCTTTGAAAGTGTAATCGTAATTGATTGGTCTCGAATAACATGATCATTCGAATGCCTACGCTCTGAAAGAAGTAGTGGGTTTGAAGAAAATTGTGTTTTCTTTTATTAGCATGCTGTAAAAGAATAATGTTGCAATAGAAATTCTGCAATAGGATGAAATGTTATCAAACGTTTGTCGCTTCAATTGATTTCGGCATCTAGAAAGACAAATGCTATCAAGAAGAATAGAACGTAAAGTTTAGCCTGATTGCCTCGTGACGAGTCGTTTTATTTATTGACACTTAACCCCTGCGACAATTTCCTGCGTGCTTCTCAACGTTACGATCTATACTTTTACAAGCGTGTACCGTCTTCTTGATGCGAGCATTGGCGTAGTTTGCGAGTCGTAAATTTCGCGAAACCGTCAAAGTTTGTCCATTAATTTTCTAGCTGAAACATTAACATGATTTTAGTGTCAGCTGCTCGTAATACAGAAATATTTTATTCTGTCATTCTATTGCAGTAATAACATTTATTTTAACCCTTTCACTGTTAAGAGTAATAACCAAAGAGCGTACTAATTCATCATATGTACTTCTACAAGTAGGAATTATAAGTTACGGTCACGTTAAGAAGACACGTGTATCGATAAACTTAAATTATGAGTCATAATCACGAATCAATTCGTACGTGTGAAGAGTGGCAAAATATTTTTTGTTTCGGTGCCGAAGGAATTGCTTATCGGCTGCGTCCACGTACGACCGTGCTCAGAATATTACACCTGTAATAAGAGGAAACCAGGCGAATTATCGGAATCGTGAAGCGTACGTGACTGCGTTCGGCTCTCATTCATGATCATGATTACACGTAAAATTCCGCGGTACCACTTTTATTCTTTCCTTGTGTCCACACTGCTGTCCGTTCGTGCATCATTCATTCATTCACCCACACACGGCATTACGCTTGATGAATGACAAAGGGCAATGGTGATTACAATGATGATATACGAGGAGTAATAGGCAACGTGTAACTTTCTCGAATTCCTTGTTGATTACAGTAATATCCATTTTTTAACCACGTGCAATCTATGTTTGATTGATTTTGTGAGCAAAAAATTGTTTTGCCATTGACGTGGATATCATTTTATTTTAGAATTTGAATGATTTCGGAATTATATATAATGCAAAATTAAATAATCATTGTATTGTACAAATTCATTTCCTGTATTATGAAAGGAATGTTAGAAAGCAATTTCGAATGGAAGCGAGCAACGACAGATGAGATTCTTAGAAAATAGATATCATGTTTATGACTTTTGAAATGAGTAACAAAGTACGAGGTTCTTCGAAAGATAATGAGATATCACAATTATCTTCTCTTTTTTTTTTTTTCTTTAGTTTTATATTTCCTCTATCTTGTTATGATTATACGGTTAACTTACGTTTATAGTATATTGAGCTCTTTTAATTACATATAATTTATAACTCTACATTTAATTAAAAGAATAATGTTTTCCATGAAAATATTAAATATAATATCTTCTTTTTTCTCTTATATTTTATTTATTTATTTTTGTCTATAACTTCTTAATAATTCAAGATAATATCAATGATTCCAATTTTTCGATTAATTAATTAATGTCAACACAATCTTTTTGATCATAATTCTGAAGCACCCTATAGATACGAGGTATGAGGAATAAAATGTAGCTGAAAGGGTCAAGGAGAAAGTAAACAGCTATATTTTATCAGACACACCCTGTACAAACGAAACACCGACAAGAAAGTCGTATCGTAAAGTTGTGCAATGAAAGGAAGATGGCTCTAACTATTAAGTCGTGGACATAAAATATTGAAAAATAATGTGTATTACGTTGGCTCAGCCACTAAAGCAGGAAAACGATATTTCTTCCTTCGTAGAAGGATATCAGGGCAAGGTATAAAAGATGTGGCAAACGGAAAGAGGTCTATAGGTGCATCTATCAATTTTATTGCACCATTATCGATAAGAACCCCTTGTTCACTTGTATCCGGTGGAAACTTTAAGCCGTGTCACATGAAACGCGTGAAACGAACGATTAGCAGTATTGAAAGATACATTATCTGTCATCGTTGAAGGATATATTGATAGTGATCGTTGTTGACGGACAAGAGTTTTACAACGTAGATAGAAATTGTTATTTTGTAGTCATTTTATAGATTTATCGCTTCTTAGAAACTGTTCAGGCGTGACAGTGTGTGCCCCTTTTCATAAGTGATTCTGCACAAAGAATGGCAGAACGAATTAACTTTCATTCAGAAGACAAAATTGAAAATGAGTGAAAAAATGGCAAATTAAATTCAATTTTTGACCCTTTTCTATGGGATATTTTTGCTTTCTTTGACACTTCTTTGTGTCGTTTCTCGGCAACCTTTATTTTCTGGTCGACTTATTTATTGGTCAATTACTTATTTCTTCCGGGCCAATTATTATATCTATCGTTTTACAAGTCTCGAGCATAGGGTAATAACCTTTATTGACCCTCCAAGGGACAACCACTAAACTGTATCGTGAATGGTTGGTATAGGGCCAATTTCGATCCAAGAATTTCAGACTCTAATCCAAGAAAATCGACGCGAATCCATAAAGAAAATCATCCATGTATCTCCATCCTGTTCTTGGTTGACAAAAGGAGGTTGTTTCCTTTGTGGGAGGATCCTACGACAGAGTCTCTTTAAAGCGAGGCCACTGACCTGTCCATTGTACCATCCCTGCCACCCTCATATAAAATATTTGGACAGAACTTCCGGCCCACGATACGGCTGTTGCCAGAACGATCTTTCGATCTCGACATGCTTTCTTGCCCTCCTTGATCCCAACTCCTGTATCTTCTTCGAAAGTTTCTCGGGGTTGAGAAAAGTTTCTTTCCTCTCTCGATAGTCGTCAATCGTCATGGAACAAGCTCGATTTCAAAGTTTCAATCGAGAAACGAGAACGAGGATGTACTTTGTGCAACACGTTTCGGAAAAGCAGCCGTATAGTCGTGAACGTTCCTGATAACAAAACCTGGCTTATTGTCGAGGATATTGACGTACATAAGATTATTCTCCGTGGGAAGATTTTGGAAGAGAAGCAGCCGATAGCTTTGGCTCCGTTGCCAAGAACTGTTGAAACGCCATGAAAATTCAGGAAGATTTGGAGATTTGTTGTTGGAGAAATATTTCTTGTCTGAGAAAAATTGTAGGCGACGTAGCAATTGAGGTATTACAGTCAATGTAGCGCAATTTTCGTGGTGTAGGAACGAAAGATGGAGGATATCGTAATTTAGAAGATCGAGGACATAGGATAGGATGTAATCCCTGGCGATGTTCCCACGGTCTTCAAGATTCCTTGTGCACGCGAGCATTTCTGTGTACCTCTGGCTGACACGCTACGATTTCAAGGTGTTCAGGACTTGTCAGAGAATACAGGGTGCGTCAGCGATCCTTAAAAAGGATCTCGAAGGACGACGATACCAGACCTACACCATCACAAAACAACAAATACAATACTTTATCCACCTATACACGGCGAAATCAAATTCTTCGATTTTTATGATCCTTTTCTCGCAGTATGCAAATTTTACTCGAAAATTCTCTCTAGTTAAAGGTACAAAAATTTGAATTCTGATAAAATATTCAACCATTCGAATGATGTTTCGATAAAAGCTGACAGCTGTCAGCGCAGGCAGTGGTACAATTGGATTATTTGATGAGCTGCGTTGACACGAAGAAAAAATTTATTTTATATCGTGAATACTGTTTGCAAACTGATAAGAAATCGCGATTTCATCGTATGAAATTTTTACCCAATCAAAATTAATACCCAACATTAGCAAAATATCTAAAATAAATTAAGATAACGATGTACCATTTAAGCGATTAGGGAATCTCTGTGTATCGGATTTTGCTCAATGAAACGTTCACTCAGTTCCGAAGAAACGAACGGTCGTTTCACCCATTTAAGATCCGCTAGATGCAATCTGGTTCGCACGGTCAGGCTCGAAAAGTAGGGGATTTCATTTCGAAGCTGATGCACCCTGCGTATATGGAGCAGGTGCACCTTTACCTGCCGTAGGCGGTCCTACTTTTTCATTCCTCTTCACTTTGCTACCTCGATGCTCTGCCATCGTCTTATCTCTCCTCTTCTTTCGTTTACTCTTACCTCTCCTCGTGAATCCTTCGCCGACGTTCGCCGCGAATTAGTGGCGCATATAAATAGAACGTTTACACACAATGTCTTGAAGTTTCGCGATTATTATACACGGGTGTTGTTGCTTCGGGTAACCCAGATGGGTTGTGCTTTTTCTGCTATCTTTAATTTATCGGAGGGAATAGTTGAATTTCAAGATGCTGTTACTGATACGAAGTGCTGGTCCTTCTTTCGACGAGGTGTGTATAATTTTCAATATTTGAATCCAGGTATACTAAATTTCGATTAAATGGTCACAGACTTCAAATTTTGTTGAGTCTTTTATCCGGACAGGTAGATGTTTTAGGAATTGCTGGAGCTTATCTTTTTTACACTCACTCTGGGCACTGAGAACGGTGTGAACTTTGGTGCAACAAAAATGCATCCCATCTTTTTAGCGGCTTTGCATCCTGTTGGTACTGGTAGATAAAACCGTACCAGAATCGCATTTATTTTTTGATTTTATACCAACAGCAACAGCGCATTACTCTTGTGGACTATGATAGGGTGAAATAAATTATGGACGTTCGTATACGTAAGTCATATCTCTATCTTAGCCGCGGGTAGTCCTTTCTGTTGTTCTTAGGTCGATGATCCAGACTTTGAAAAACCGATCCAATTTTTTTTCCAAGCTTGACACGTTTATACTGCGTGATTCAACGAACGTCCTCCTCCGGATGCAGATTTCTCCCGCATACACTTTGTTTTTCTCCTACTGTAGATTCTTGCTAATAAAAGGCGGTAAAAAACGAGGGAAACGGCTGGAAATATTAAGATGAAATATTACAAGAATAATTTTCATTTGCAAATGTTAGACGCGGTTTCAATAATCAATAATTCTCATTCAACTAATTGAGTTCGTAGAAAAGAGGTCTCTGATAAACGCTTTCAATAATACCGTGTTTTCAATGGTGAGATAAATCGAGTTCCATGATCACTAGCTTTCCAGGGACTTCAAAGGACACTCTCGACCATGAACTTTGTAACGAGTTAAAACCAGTTTATCGGCCGAAGGATGAAAACGATCAGAAAGTTCGCCTTCCCAAAAAAGTCACAGGAGAGACACATATGGAAGGTTCAATCGAACTTTAATGAGAGCAGCCTCTTTGTAGCCTCAACAGAGTCGAATTCTTTTTGTTTTCCTTCCTTTTTTCTTTTCTACAAACGATTACCCGGTTTCACGTAGTGGCCCTATCTCACAGAGACATTTCAATTTCTCGTCCCTTTAGGTTGGCCCGCAATTCGATACGCTGTGCTGTCCAAGCAGGTCAGGCAACTAGCCAGGATCTCTTATTGCCTCCTTTTTATCCACTTGCTAGAGTATTTGACCGAAAATGTGACGAGAAAATTTGTCTCCTTTTCTTGTATGTTTTTCTGAACCAGTTTTTATCATTTTTATGTCGGTATAAAATGAAAGAATCAAAGTATGTGTATCTGAAAAGAAAAGCATAGGTCATTCAGGATTTTATTTTAGAATAATTTATCAATTAGTAATATTAGTCAATTTGCGAATAATCAGTTCTAATTTGTAGACTTTTGCTGCATAAATAACTTTACGGACGTAACAATGTTAAATTCTTGCAAAAAGGGTCAATGATCTATCATTTTTTTTACCTCGATTTCTTTTTTTATAATGTACATAGCAAAGTCAGCGATAAAGCTGTTACAATAGATTTGATACTGTCGCGGGATACGCACATCGACGATAAGATTAGATAATCGGAAAAGAAACATTTATTCAGCCTCGAATCGATACTACGAAAAGTTTATAAGCTTGATATAGATACGAACAGGGATCTCAAGTGTGTTCGATATCAGTCTGACGTGGAACCGTCTCCGTTTGATGTAACGTATATTTTTAATAAGAGTAAGCAAATTTCTTTCAACGATAAGCGATTCGAAGTACTGTTATCGATCTTATTCCTATCCTTTTTCCATTTCGAGTACCGTTGAAAGATTATAAGGACCAAAATGTGCGACCATCAAAGTATTAAAATTCAATTATGAAAGTGTTAATTAGAGCTCATCCTAAACCACAATTATACCTCCCCGTCTTCAACCGCGAGGGTAAGGGAGGTCAATCGTTGGAGTTTCAGTACCAGACTCTGTAACTATTTAACCCCGTAGCGTGTCCGCGCTTAGTTCCCCGTATCCTCATGTATTTTTTTCTCTCACTGCCTCTGTGCCCCGTGTTTTCGTTCTTTTGATGTTTACCACCGTCCCGCTCCGACAACCGTCACCCCTTTTCGGCGCGCGTACACAGTGTAAAGAACAAACAGACAGACAGGGGTAGACGAGAGGGACGATAATGCGGTGTATCCACAAAAGTTATCCGCACGTGGAAAAGTCGGGTCGAGGGAAAAACGATGCTACCGTGAAGAAGGTCTGTGACGGTGACGCACAGGGCCGTGATAAACTGGCTTCCTCGACAGTCCTCTGTGACACGGAAAGCGGTAACAAAAGGGCACACCGTGAGATAGAGAGAAACGTGAAACGAAGGGAAGAATTCGCGAGTAAAGGTTGTAGAAGGAACGAGGCCGCAAACACTCGGTGCTCGAAACACGTCACTTCAAGTCCTCGTGGTAAAGTGCAGTTAGCCTCGATGGACTTGCCGGATCGCTGAAATACTTGGACCACCTTCGGGGGTGAGTGGTGTGCTTGAAAACGTTCCTGGTGTCCTCGTTTTGGAATTAGCTACACTGCCACGGTCAGCAGGTAGAAAGAAAATTAAACCAACTCAGAATTCCACCCTTCTAGGTGGCCCTTGAATGAACGCAGGAAAGTTTGCCGTAGCTTCGACCAATTTACAGTTGCTAATTTAATTCTGTGGATACCTACTTTTTAAAATGTATGAAGGTAAACGTAAAAATAAGCCCCATGGAATTCGATGAGAGAAGCAACCATACGAATGGGCACTGTTTACACGTGAATTCCTTGAGCTTCTGCTTTCCCTTTTACGATGTTTCAAAATCTGTAGGGTGGTTGTGACCCTCCGCCCCTTTGGCATGACTGTCCCTCGTCTGCGAAAGATTAGGTTCTTTCGAGGGTGAGGCGCACAGTTCGCTGATGGGTTCCATGTTGGCCCCTTCTGCCGGCATACGAACCGGGAAATATTGCCTCCCTTACCGGATCCCCCATCGACTCCACGGGAAAATATCATTTCCCTTCGCTGCAATCTTGTCTGCCTTCAAAATATCCGACGTGCTGTCATCATTTAGTTTCCATTCACATTAACGAAACGAATATTTCAAGGAAAATGTGGCTTTAGCCTTTATACGGCGGTTTGATATTGACTACCTGCTTTTATTTACGTGACATCTCGTTAAGTGTTATTTTTTGGAATTAGAATAGCTACTTTTTCCTTTAAAAGATTATGTATTGTGCGAGATGCTTTAATAGGAAAAGAACCATTGATACCATTATTGATAATTGAAGTGACTCGTTGAAAAATTCAATGATTATTTAATTCTAGTTAAATAAAAAACAAAATATATACGATAAGAGGTAAAACAGAACAAAGAAAATGGAAGGGGTGGATTAACTGGCGCGTATTCGTCCCGACTGTTCGTGTCTGTTGACTCGAAGTGTACCGAACAGCCGTTTCATGCCGTAGAAAAAGCGAACACGAAATGACTGCTATCGATTTTACGACTGACGGATTAGTTCCTCTACTTTTCCTCCTTTTTTTTCGTCCCCGTGTCGTTAGCTTGTTCTATTGTGACGGTGGTTAAAGAGGTAGCAAGAATCAAGGAAGAAGCGTATCGTTTCTAAGCAGGGATTACCAACGGGAAGAGGAGGAGGTGGAGGCGGTGTGGAAAGAGAAAAGAGGGCTGTTTTAAACACCGTCGTTAGGAACAAACTTATCGATCCCAACGCTTGAGCCACGAATCTGCGTGTATCCAGTTCGCTTCGGAAAAAGCTTTTTTCGCGTCTCTGGCGAAAGATATTTTTACCGCGTGCATCGAATTTCTCGCGTGAAAAGGAAAGTTTCACGGACAGGGTTGAGGGAAACTGGCAGAGGTGAACGACACCTGGTATTCTGAATGGCGAACGGTTCCAAGTTACACGTGTTCTCGTATCAATTCTAATGTTCAATCGACTAAGAGAAGAAGGATCTAGAGAAATTACGAGCTTGAATGCGATAACCATAGGTCTTACAAGATGCTCTCAAAGTTCGAGCAGCTAGTTTGAACAAGTCGTAAAATCTTAAAAAGTCTTTCACCGAGTTACGAGTTACCTCGGCTGGTGGACGTTAAACCAGCAATCCCTTTTCCTCTGCCGATGCACGAAAGTATTTATTGCCTTTCGCATAAGCAGTGTGCTTGCTACTTTTCAAGGTGTAACCTGGATACTGGATCTTGCTCTCACCAGAGCAGTTGGTTATTCTTGTTTATGAGCGAAGGAAATCTCGGGGAACGCGAAATCCTTTACGATGATTATATTTCGGATGATAAACGTTTATGTTATTGTTTCTTTGATTTATCCTTTTCTGTTGAATTGGAAAAGAGTCGAAGAATTCTTTTACTATTGAAGTGGAATGTAGAAGGTACTTCACAGAGAGAGGGTGTGTTAGTGTAAAAAAAGTCAAGCCCTCGATTATTCTCCCTTACGGGGGAAACGAATTCTATCGAATTACCCACTGGTACCCTTCGATTTCACGAGTCATCGGTCTCCTCGCCGGAAGCAAGAGGGTTCGGTTAACCGGAAGTCCTATCCAGGGAGATCCGGTTCGTCGCGCGGCAGGTACCTGTTTCTCTGTTAGCAGAAATGCCTGTGGTTCACTTCATTTTAGCACCGGTGACACCGCGAAATTCCCAATAATGGTATTAATTCCATATCGGCCGCAATCAAAAACCACTAGGTTTCTCATGTGAACGGGGCTTGTTTACGCTTTGTTACACCATCGAGGATGTAATTATGCAATACCGTTACCCGTTCCACCGAACCAAGTGCGAAACGATTAATAATACTGTCCAATAACTAATTTATGTTTCAATACCTTCTATGTACAATTTCGTACGCTAATTACGAATCCGAAAATTTTATCACTATCAAGTTTTGAGAAACTTCAATTCAAATATTCAACCACCTAATTGTAAATCCTACAAATGAAAAGAAGTGTCTCGTCTTTCTTGCTCACTTATCTGTAACACCCTATCTTAAATTAAGAAGAAGAAAAAAGTACAACCCCCTGGTTCGA